CCAGCCTTGCAGCTCCACTGCTGAGCCCCATGAGGGGCCCGGCGGTGGACCTCCAAGGCCGGCGGGAGTGCTAGGAAGCCCCGCGAAGGCCCTCCCTGGCCCCAGGCAGGCAGGGGTGGGGAGAGGCAGGGAGGAAGCAACTTACCCTCCCTCTTCTCCTGCCTCCTCCTGGCTGAATGAGGGCCGGAAGTTGGGCCGCCGGAAGCAGGGGGCGGGGCTTCGTCATGTGCCCCGCCCCCCATACCTCACCCGGGGGAACCGCGATCCCCCCCGAAATGACCTCTGTGCGGGACCTTGTACAGTTCCGCAGGGCCTGTAAGACGGAGCTCTTCCGCCAGGCTTTCGAATAGGAGCCGCCGCCACCACTGTTCCATCAACGCCCTATAATTTCTGCACATTGCTACCGCTGGTGCGGGTACCATCGGAGGGAGCGGGACGTTTCTAGGGACCGACAGGGCAGTGATGATATGCACTGCTATTGTTGTGTAGCTATACTATCGAGAACACCATCTTTGTTTTAAAATTCGGAAGTAAGTAGGGGAGCACCATAATGACTTTTATGAATCTTATTTAATTGTCTATTCTGTATTTTTAGTATTTTATACTGTTTTATTGTTATTATCCGGCATTATGCCTCTGTTAGCCGCCCTGAGCCTTCGGGGAGGGCGGGATATAAATCCAAATAAATAAATAAATAACAGCTTAAAGTGTTGTGCATGTCTGGTCCGGAGCTGTTTCCATCCTGCTTTTGGATAACTACCCTCTCTCCCCCCACACACACCACCATCCATCCTCAATTTCTAACTCAAGGCAAACTGAAGCCAAACTGAGAGCGCCTCACCGGAGAACTGTGGGAAATATCTCTGCAGAGAACACATAAGTGGTCGAGAAGGAGGCCGAAAGAGAGGCCTTCCCGATAACAGCCAGCACGGTCACGGCGACGGGAAAGGCTGGGCAAAGACAGACCACGGGGGAAAGAAATCAGAGGTAAACCAAGATCACCGTCCTCCTGACAAAAGATCTACATTGTTTAAAGTCAATACGTTTTGTTCTTAAAGATTTGTACACCTGATGAATTGTACGGGCATACTGGACAGCCCAGGCTAGCCCAGTTCCATCAGATCTCGGAAGCTAAGCAGGGTCGGCCTTGGCTAGTGTTTGGAAGTGTGACCTCCAAAGAATACGAGGGTCGTGACGCAGAGGCAGGCAATGGCAAGCTACCTCTGAAACCTCTCTTGCCTTAAAAACAAGTCTAGCTTGCCACCTAGGAGCTGCGGTGGCTCAAGTGGTTAAGATGCTGAACTGCAGCCTGTGGAAGGTCGGTAGTTCAGCAGTTCGAGACCCGAGGGTGCCACATGACGGAGTGAGCTCCTGTCTCTAGTTCCAGCTCCTGCCAACCTAGCAGTTCGAAAGCAAGAAATAGCAAGTAGATAATAGGTACCACTTCGGTGGGAAGGTAACAGCGTTCCGTGCGCCTCGGTGTTTAGTCATGCCGGCCACATGACCACGGAAACGGCTTCGGACAGCACTGGCTCTTCGGCTTTGAAACGGAGATGAGCACCGCAACCCTAGAGTTGGATTCGACTGGCTTTCGAGCAAGGGACACCTTTATCTTTACCTTTACTAGCTTGCCACCTAATGTTGCATAATGCTAAAAGAGCTAGAACTTCTAGCTGCCAGACAATCTTAGGATTGCCTGGCTGTTCTACACACAATGCCATACAATAACAATTATTAATTATTATTGTAGGGGCATTAAATGGTGAGTTTTTTTGATGTAGTGGCTTAAGTGTCAGAGCTCAGGGGGTATCAAGACGAAGAAGAGGAGGAGGAGGAGATTGGATTCATACCCCGCCCTTCACTACCCGAAGGAATCTCAGAGCAGCTTACAATCTCCTTTCCCTTCCCCTCCCCACGACAAACACCCTGTGAGGTAGGGTGGGGCTGAGAGAGCTCTTTCGAGGACTGCTCTTGAGAGAACATCTCTGAAAGAACTTGTGACTGGCCCAAGGTCACACCAGCAGCTGCATGTGGAGGAGTGGGGAATCAAGCCCAGTTCTCCCAGATTAGAGTCCACGCTCCTACCCACTACACCGAACTGGCTCAAATAATCCATGACTATTGGATCCACATAATTGGTCCATCAAGGTCAGTCTTGTCTACTCAGACTGGCAGCGGCTCTCCAGGGTCTCAGGCTGAGGTCTTCCCCATCACCTCCTGCCTGGTCCTCTTTAACTGGAGATGCTGCTTGGATTGCACCTGGGACCTTCTGCAAGGAGAACTGTACTTTTTGGAACAGCAGGGATGATCATGCATACGACTCCTGCCAGGAGAAGCCAACCAGCCTGGCATTTCTTCCTCCCCATCCACTCCAGCAGAAAGATGCAGGAGGCACGTGCTGGTATTTCGACGGCTCCAAACACAAGCTGGGTCGTGTAGATGTCCAGGCCGAAATTCCCAACATGAAGGCTCATTCCGTAGTACACGAGACTGTCCACAAACCTGAGAGGAAAGCAAAATATACATTGGTCCTGGGTTCATTTTATGTGTGTATACTGGCTCACCAACCTCCAGGAGGGGCCTGGAGATGTCCCGGAATCACAACTGGTCTCCAGGCTACAGAGATCAGGTCCCCCAGAGAAAATGGCTGCTTTGGAGGATACAGTGTACAGACATTATACCACACTGAGACACCCTCTCCTCCCCAAAATCCCACTCTCCCCAAATCCCACCCCCAAATCTCTGGGAATTTCCCAGCCCAAAGCAAGCAAACCTATAGTGCAATGAGATTCCGTGGAAGTAGAAAGTGGTGGTGGTGGGGGGTGAGTGAGAAAATTCAGCTTGGAATATAAGAAGAGCCCTGCTGGATGAGGCCAATAGTCCATCTAGTCCAGCATCCTGTCTCACACAGGGGCCAACCAGTTCCTCTGGAGGGCCAACAGTAGGGCATAGAGGCTGAGGCCTTCCCCTGATAAGAAGAGAAGAGCCCTGCTGGATCGAACCAGTGGTCCATTTTGTCCAGTGTCCTGTCTCACACAGGGGCCAACCACTTCCTCTGGAGGTCTGACAAGAGGGCACAGAGGCCGAGGCCTTCTCCTGATCAGAACATAAGAAGAACCTTGCTGGGTTGGACCAGTGTGTGGGGACAGTGAATCTCTGTGAGGCATGCCCGGAGTTCTATGTTCCCGCAGGGAGACTGGGAACCAGAGTGCACAAGGTAAATATCTGCTGAGCGATGAGCTCACCATGAGAAGAGAAACTTGGCAGAGTCAGGGAAAGATAAGACGGTGAGCTCTCACATCCTGTTATTTAGTTCAGAATATGCTTGTAGCTTAGAGGGCAGGGGGGAGGAGAGGGGGAAGGTAATCTAATAAAACACTGCTGGTCCAGGGTGGGTCAGACAGATTTCTGCAGAGCTGTGTGTCGTGTCATTCTTTGAACCCTCAAGCCTTCAAGTGGCGCCTGACCAGGGAGCCCTCCCTACAGGAAAGAATCCTTTTCACCAACGCCTGGCATAGGCCCCTTGAGTGCACTCCTCATCGTGTTTTACGACCCCGTCATTGGTGAACATGGGTGGAAAATTAACACTGCCGCAGCAGAAACATTTAAAAGAATTACAGTTTTTTAGCTCAGAAGTCCAGCCGGTCCGTGTCTTCTGCGTCTCTTACCCAACTGCTTTTGGAAATTCAGAAACAATGCCCTTGGTACCCTGAGGAGGGTTCCCTAAAACATAGGGATTGGAAAAAGATTGGGAAGACCTTTCACGCAGAGCCTCGGGTTCCCGTGGAAGTGTTACATTCCTGGTATCTGTGCAGGTTTGCAGTCGAAGCTATAGCGCCTGTTTCTTCTCTGGCTTCTCTTACATGCAGTGCAGAGGCCCCCCACTGCTTATTCCCAGGGGGCTCAATTAGTTTTACCTAAGCCCCCACCGCCTCTTGCTCTTTATCCCCCACTGCCTTCAGCAGCACCACTGCCTTTGACACCAACACCCTAGAGTCTTTACCCTCGATGCCTCAAAAGCTGGCACCCGTGGATCCGCCAGATAAGCATTATCCACCTTCACACCCCACTCCATGAAGTGTTCTTATGGACCACCTAAAAAATCAGAACCCTTCCTTAGAGGAAATTAAAGAGATTTCAGAAATGTCTGTCTGTCCAGTTCATGTGATTGGCCAAAATGCAGCTGGTCAAAATATAGTGGAATACAAACCCCTCTCTTACCCCATTTTAACAGAATTGTGCAAGGGAATTCGGGACATGGGCTTACAGAGTACCTATGTTCAAGGAATGTTAGAGGCTATTATGAGAAATCATGCAATGGTCAGACAGATTTCTACAGAGCTGTGTGTCGTGTCATTCTTTGAACCCTCAAGCCTTCACCAGTGATCCAACTAGTCCAGCCTCCTGTCTCACACAGTGGCCAACCAGTTCCTCTGGATAGCCAACAACAAGGCACAGAGGTTGAAGCCTTCCCCTGATGTTGCCTCCTGGATCTGGTATTCAGAGGTTTAGTGCCTCAATGTGGAGGTTCCCCTCAGTCACCATGGCTAGAAGCCAATGATAGACTTATTCTCATGAATCTATCTAATAAGAATATAGCTTCTGTGAGAACTCATCCAATAGAAAATATGGGAGTGCTTTTGGTTGGTACTGATCTAGTACTTTCAGAAGACTTACCAGAGCCAAGCCACAATCAAAGTGATTTTTCTGAGATATGGCTTCTTAAAAAGATCCAAGATACTTCCAGATCTGCCCTTCTTTGGGGGAGCCAGCTTGGAAATGTACAAAGCAAGAGAGAGAGAAAACATCAGCTAAAATTGAATAGTCCACACTACACAGCTGATAGCATTATCTATGCTCTTGGCCTTGGCACATTTTTCATTGTTGTTCTTATACCTTTATTGAATATTTCTCATTGGCAAATGCATTCTTAGAATGAGTAGTGCAGAGAAGAAGAAGAAGAAGAAGAAGAAGAAGAAGAAGTTGGATTTATACCCCACCCTTCACTACCCAAAGGAAGAAGAAGAGGTTGGATTTATACCCCGCCCTTCACTACCCAAAGGTGTCTCAGAGCGGCTTATAAACTCCTTTCCCTTCCTCTCCGCACAGCAGACACCCTGTCAGGTGGGTAGGGCCGAGAGAGCTCTTGACAGAAACTGCTCTTTTTCGAGAACAGCTCTTATCAGAACTACGGCTTGCCCAAGGTCATCCAGCCAGGTGCGAGTGGAGGAGTGGGGAATCAAACCTGGCTCTCCCAGATTAGAGTCCGCGCACATAACCACTACACCAAACTGGCTCTCAGAGCGTCTCAGAGCGGTTTACGATCCCTTTCCCTTCCCCACCCCACAACAGACACCCTGTGGGGCTGAGAGAGCTCTTTCAAGAACTTCTCTTGAGAGAACAGCTCTGAGAGAACTTGTGAATGACCCAAAGTCACACCAGCAGCTGCAAGTGGAGGAGTGGGGAATCAAACCCGGTTCTCCCAGATCAGAGTCCACACACGTAACCACTACACCAAACTGGCTCTCTCTCTTTATGATAAAGAACAAGGTCAACATTACTCAGGCATCGGGCTAGAGTCCGGGGCTGTCTCCTCCTCCAGGGCTCCTTCCGTGGACCAAGGGTCTGATTCAGTATACAGCAGTTTAATGTGAGACCTGGCCCTTCCTCCCTGGTTCTCCCAGGTTGCACCTTTTAAAGGACTGCCTGGGGGTGGGACAACTCCAGCCCCACCCACTCCCTCTTATCCTGGGCCTATGGGAGTGGCAGGCCCCAGGTCCAATGGGCGGCTGCCTGCCTGGGATCCCATTTAGGGTTGCCAGCTCTGAGTTGGGAAATACCTGGAGATTTGGCGGATGGAGCCTGGGGAAGGCAGGGTTTGGGGAGGCAAAGGATTTCAGTGGAGTATAATGCTGTGGAGTTCACCTTCCACAGCAGCCATTTTCTCCAGGTGAACTGATTTCTGTCACCTGGAGATCAGTTGTAATAGCAGGAGCTCTCCAGCTGCCACCTGTAGGTTGACCACCCTAATCCCATTTCCCCTGCCCCTCCCTCCTGGGAAGTCTTACAAGGCTTCTCTTTGTTGGAATATGCAAGGTCTATCGTGCAGAGATAGAGAAGATGGCAAGAACATCCTGTAGGGGGCAGCAAAGGGGACAGCTAGTTAGCATAGTGAGATGAGGGATTTCCTACTATTTTCAGATAGTCTCTTTCCTGTCTCCTGATTGGCTCAGTATGGGCTCTTTCCTGCTCCTGCTGATAACAGTTCGTTACTGACTCCCTGCTAGCTAGTTAGACAGTCAGATGGCTCATTCTCTCTCTTCTGCCTTACAAAGTTTGTTCTCTTCTTAATAAACCTACTTTATTATTTAAACAGTTTGCACCCTGCTTTACTGCATATCTACACTCTGCCAACACTCTTCTGGCACCTGCTGGCCTACAGAGGTCACTGCAGCCTGTTCCCAGGCTTCCACGACAGACGAGGAATGGGCCGGCACTTGTGGCGGGTTCTGCTGCTCTTCCACCACCCCTGTTGTCTCACGCCTCTGCTGGGCGTCATGGTGAGCTGGGAAGCTGCTCCTTGCGGCATTACATTGCCATGTAGGGTTGCCAGCTCTGAGTTGAGGAAACACCTGGAGAATCGGGGGTGGAGACTGAGGAGTTTGGGGAGGTTTCAGAAGGGGAGGGACTTAAACAGCGTATACTGCCGTAGAATCCCAACTTCCCAAGCAGCCATTTTCTCCAGGTCAACAGATCTCTGTTGCCAGCGGTCGTTTCGTAGAAAAATAGCTAGGGGGCCTCATTAGCATAACTCATTAGCATATGCCACACCCCCTGACATCAGGGGCCCGGCGGTGGACCTGCAAGGCCGGCGGGAGTGCGAGGAAGCCCCACCAAGGCCCTCCCTGGCCCCAGGCAGGCAGGGGTGGGGAGAGGCGGGGAGGAAGCAACTTACCCTCCCTCTTCTCCTGCCTCCTCCTGGCTGAACGAGGGCCAGAAGCGGGGCGGCTGGAAGCAGGGGGCGGGGCTTTGTTGTGTGCCCCGCCCCCCTCGCACCTCACCCGGGGGAACTGTGTTCCCCCACGTTCCCCCCCGAAATGACCTCTGTCTGTTGCTTGGAGATCAGTTGCAATAGTGCCAGTGTAGTGCAGTGGTTAAGAGCAGTGTATGCTGATCTGGGAGAACTGGGTTTGATTCCCCACACCTCCACTTGCAGCCAGTTGGGTGACCTTGGGTCAGTCACAAGTTCTCTCAGAGCTGTTCTCTCAAGGGCAGTCCTCGAAAGAGCTCTCTCAGCCCCACCCTACCTCACAGGGTGCCTGTTGCGGGGAGAGGAAGGGAAGGAGATTGTAAGCTGCTCTGAGACTCCTTTAGGTAGTGAAGATCGGGGTATAAAAAACAACTCTTCTTCTTCTAGTGGGAGAACTCCAGCCATCACCTGGAGGCTGGCAACCCTACACACTAAGCTTCCGCGGCCCTCCCTAGACAGTTCCCTTAGCACAATCTGGAGGCCTCTGTCTCCTTGTCGGTAAGTGTGGGGGCAGGAGGTCTGAACCCAGGCACATTCTTAGGCCTCCGAACTAAATGTATTATTTATTTACTGCCTTATTGTTTATTTCCGGCCTTTCTCCCCAACAGGGATCCAGAGTGGCTTACATTGTTCTCCTCACCTCCGTTTTATCCTCACAACAACCCTGCGAGGTAGGCTAGGCCGAGAGCATGTGACCGGCCCAAGGTCACCCAGCCAGCTTCCATGGAAAAAGTGCCCCAGACCTTGAAAAACTCTACTTGGCACCCCACTGAGGTCTCCCCCAAAAAACGATATTCCCCTCTGCCCAAAATCTTTTTCAGGACACAAGCATTAACAACCCCAGCCTTTGACACCTGATTGAGTAATTCTTCCGGGATGCTTCGTTTGTTGATTGACGCCGCCCTTTGAATCTCTTTTTTGGCTTCCTCTATCTTCCCTCTTGTCAGAAGCCATCGGGCAGAACTGGGGAGGCCCCTGCAATTAAAGGAGGGGATATCATGAAGCACTAGGGATCCCAAGTCCCCCTGGGGGGCGGGAAAACCCCCGCCCCAGAGGCCCCTTGTATGGCCGTGGCCCCGCCCCCAGCGTGCCTGGCGTCCTCCCGTCACTTTCAGGTGATGTGCGTGTGGTGCACACACACGCGCAAAGCATGCGCACGCACAAGTCACCGGCCGGGAGCCCCCACTCCCGGCGAAGATAGACTTGGCAACCCTATGAAGCACTGAAGGTTCATTCCCTCGGTTAATCCGTTGGCTGTTCATTGTGGCAGGAGCCCTTAAGGGCCAATAAAACTGTGAGGGGCATTTCAGTAAATGCCCAATTGCACAGAAAAAGGCAAGGTGTAATTTAGCTGTGTCAGGATCTGGTCTGTGCGATCAAAGGCCTAGCAGGCCCAGGGAGCCTGAGTAGCAGTGGGAGGAGGCCTGGCCTACAACTCCCAGAAGCCCCTGAGAAGTTTTGGTGCCAATTTTAACGAATCATAGAGAAAGGGAGCTTATAAAAAAAGAGCCGGTACAGAAGAAGAGCTGTTCTTTCTTCCAAGAGGGCAGAGCCAGAAGGAAGGCTGCTGCTGGGAAGAGACCCTCATCCTAAGAGGAAGGGTGAGCAGACTGCAGCCCACTTGAGACAATGAGCTAGGGACAGTAAGTTTAGACGCGTTAGGGCATGTGGTTTCTTTTCTTTTCACCCCCTTACTGATATTGTTCTTGCGTCTTGTTTGCTTCACATATTTGACTGACCTCCTATAAAAATAAACCTCTTATTTGTTGTTTATTCTCCCTGATCCTTACGCCTATTATTCGACCTAATAAGGGAGGTCTGAAGGTCTTGGGAGGGTGCTCTGGGCCTTCTCAAGGGAACCTAAAACCAGAGTGGTGGCAGCGTCAGGTGACTCCCCACCTGAGCTGTGACAAGCTGTAACAACAAACTATGTTTGGCACTTGGAGAATGAGCCTGGTAGGAACTTTCAATTTTACCTCCTGCTTTTCAGCGAACAATAACTTGCACTTCCATCCAAACTGAAAAACCACGTTTGGCGTTTGTCCTACAAAACCAGGATTGCAGCCCAGGATTATAAACCACAGTTTACCAGTTGAGATGCGACTGCAAACTGCGGTCTGCCAAAATCCAGGAAGAAACAAATTACTTCTTCCTGTCTCTCTCGTGGTTAAGACGCTGAACTGCATTCCATCTTCCACCCCCAGCGGGGGACTTTGGGGGTGTTCCTGTAGGGGGCGGGGCATCCCTGACGTGATGATGTCACATTGGGGACGTCCGCCGCACCACCACCCCGCCCACCCGTGCACCAGAGCTCCAGAAACGCCAGTTCCCTGCACTTAAAGGAGCCGACGTTTCCCTTTTAAGTGCAGGAGCTGGCATTTCCCTGCCAGCCTGATCTCAAGCGGAGATCGGGCTTGGGAGGAAACGCAGGCTCCAGGAACTTAAAGGCAGCCACCCCTCTCTCTCAAGAGAGAAGGGAGAGGGGTGGCTGTGGATGTTGGTGGCGGGGGCAGGGGACCCCCCAAAATGGGGGACCCCTGGCAAACTGGGGGGTTTGTCAACCATACTCATAGGTTTTGGTTGTCTGAAGCAAGATTGTGAGCCGCCCTGAGCCCGTTCGCAGGGAGGGCGGGAAAGAAATTTGAAATAATAAATAAATGAATAAATAAATTCCGGATTCTATAGGGAAAATAAGTGGCTAGCTCCATGCCCCACATTTCTGCTAGCATAAATACAGCATTGTTCATTGTGGGCGACTGTCTACCTAATTTGTAAAGTAGGACCAAACGTCACCAGTTTGTGCTACCACCACGGTTGCCCATAATCCACATATCCAGGGAGGTAAGTACTTTAGGATTCCCAGGTGCCTACCATCTGCCGGCAGGGGACTCCTGGCTGCTGCCTGGGGTCTTTGGGAAGTGATGTCATCGTGCCAGGCACATTGTGTAGGGGATGCTCTAGCATTCGGCCAAAAACTCTATGGTCAGAATTTTTGACTGAACGCTAGAGTGTCGCCTGCACGACATGCCTGGCACAATGACATCATCTCCGGGTGACATCATTGTGCCGGGCACGTTGGACACCGTGGGGCTCTTTGGGGGCAGTGGGTGGATTGGGGTTCCTGAAATCAGGGGAACCCCCACCCCCAACAAAAAGGCTCATTCCATAGTACACCAGACTGTCAACCCTAAAGTACTTGATGTTTAAAACATCAAAACTCTGTGTTGATAATACCTAAAATTCTGTGGTGTGTACAAATTTAAGCAGATTAAAACATATATATCCACCTGTTTTGCATCACTGGTTTTGCTACTGATAAACTGTAAGGAGGAATACAACGGACATCCAGCCACTGGTTATTGGTGGAGAAGGAGCAACATTTGACCTGGAGCGCTAACACCATTGCTCTGTTGAAGAAGGTTCTGCAGAGGCTCTTTTTTCTCAGACTTTTAAAGAAAAATAACTTGAGTAAGAAAACATTGATGTCCTCCTATCGCTGCTCAATAGAGAGCATTTTAACATATTGTGTCTGTGCCTGGTTTGCCAGTTGTATGGCTGTGGAGAGGAAAGCACTCCAGAGAGTTGTTATTACAGCCCAGAAGATCATTGGCTGCCCTCTCCCATTCGTGGAGGAATTGTATAGTTCTCGATGTCTGAAAAAAGCAAAGAACATTTTGCAGGACTTGTCACATCCTGAACATTCCCTGTTTGAACTGCTGCCTTCGGGCAGCAGATATAGGACAATTAAAGCAAAGACAAATAGATTAAAAATAGTTTTTTATTTGAGAGCTATTAAATGCAGCTATTAAATGCAGTATGAAATTGGAATTTGGGTGACATTGGTGGTTTTAAGTTGCTATGT